ATTTTCTTATTGTTTTGAATTCAGCTTATTTTATGATACTTTTATGTAAAAAGCGTAAATTAAATAAATTTTTCATGTTTTATTAATTGGTGTATCAAAACCTTAAACGAAAAGAAAAAAAACGGAGAGAGTAAATGTTTTGTTAAAAAAAATCAACAAATGTCTTAGATCTATAATAAAAATAACTTATTTTTTTAATATGGATCTCTAGTAAAGTTAAAAACAAAATTTGTTAAATACCTTTACACTAAAAATGAAGACACATCTCCAAACCAAAACAAAAACATTGCAAAAACTGTTGAGCACAAATGCTTAAATATTAAAAAAATTGAGAAGTTTTATAATTTAAAATCTTAAACAGAAAAAAAAATCAAATTAACCGAGTTCTGGTTACTCAAGTTTTTAAATAGTTAGGTTTGGTCTATACTATATAGTTGCTTGCTTACACAAAAGTGATGTTGCGTCCATTGGTGAATGTTCTAAAGTTTTTGATAAATTACAAAAGTTAAATAAAATAATCTCACAATATATTAATAATGTCACATTATATATTATTAGTAATAAATACATCCAAAAGTAGCAAAATGTAATTATCGAGAAAAGGAAACGCAGATGGATGTGTGTGATTGGTTGGTTAGTGGAGTGAACCAAAAAATTAACTAACGAAAACAACGAATCAGAGAGCTTGAAAACGCCATGTCATCGTAAAAGCAGTGTGGTTCCGTACGGCAGCGTTAAACCACTGGTTTTGTGCCGGATTTAATGGGAAGGAAACATAATTTTCTTAATTTCAGAATTTTTGTTTTGGTTTGGGGTCTGATGCACCAATTACGGTGGTTGGTAGACCGGCCACATCATCCATCATATGCTATTGCATTACATGGGTATGTTTTTTCTGGCAAATGTTAAATTACGTACGTTGTGGATTATCTATTTTGACCTATGCCTCAAATTTAAAGTAAAACAAAGATACATTTTGGGTTCGAATGGTAACGAGATCGAAATGGACAATTCTATTAGCGGTTTTAGTCCCTTCTATTTTTTGTAGGATGAAGAACAAATCGCCATTAACTAACTCTGTTTGTATGTGAAAGCAGTCTGCAGTTGGTCCGCAGTTGGGTTTTTTGTTCTTTTTCAACTGCATTATTACATACTATATTTGATGAATGGTAAATAAATAGCGGTCTAATACACAGACAAATTTTCCGTCTTAACTGCTGCAACTATTCGAATGCTTTCTAGCTTTTAAAATGTAAATTATGGATCCAAATGATGCGATTAGGCCGAACAACTGGACCGATTTTTATTTTCTATTCATAAATTATATTAATATGTGTAAATTTATCACATTTTAGTTTTAGATACAAATAAATTTTGATATATAGTAAAATTTACTTTTATTTAAAACCGATTTATAGTTGGTTTGATGGACTTTAGAAAAAAATAAAATATGGATCATAAATGAAAAATGGTCCTAGTCACAAATACCCATTAAGTATATACTAATTTGGTATATCTAAATAATTCATATGCACATTATAGAGTTTAGACTTTAGACCTTTATAATCCATGGCTTTCCCTATAACATTAAATTTTTTGCAAGTAGTTTTTTCGCTTTGTGTTTTCATTTATCTCATAGTGTTCATGGATTTTAATTTGACCGTTAACTGTAATTTATAACGGTAGAATAATTTTGCAATTTTTAAAATAGACATTCTTCAACTAGCTAGAACATTTTTTAGTCTTTAAATAGAGAATTTATTAGTAATATTTATGAAATTAGTTGTGTAGTTGTTTTTCATAATAACAATCATGTCGTACTCATGATTTCGACCATATAAAATTTATACGTTTTACTGATATCATTATTAGACATTAGACAATACTCTTAACTCAAATCAATACACACTTTTTCGTTGAGTAAACATTAAGGATAAGACAAGTGATCGATTATATATATTTCTACATGCAAATATGCAATTAACTTTTTTCTTTCGTGATTCCTGGAAGAGTGTTAGTGAATTTTTGGCCTTTTTAATTTCTTAATTATTGGATTTAAAATAAAGATTATAAAAAGAAAAAAACTCACTTGATTGAGAGTTGGCTCTTACAATGTTTTAAATTGGAATTGAAAATAAAATAAAATATATTTACATTATGCAGATGGTGAAGTATTTATTTGAAAAGTTGTAGACTTGGACACTTGGTTCACATTGGTAATTGCATAATTAAGAAATTAAAAAGGCCAAGATAAAAACTAATCAAGCTCAAACTTATAATAGTAAATATACTACCAAACCTAAAACTTATATATATTATATCTAGATATATATGATGGATAAAAACGTTCTAATTACCAATGCTAGCTCGAGAATAATAATGGAAGCCTTTCCCTAGCTATCACACAAAAACAAAACTTCTAAAATTGGAAGAGACAATATTTGGAAAACTTCTAGATTACCAAACAAAAATTATGGAAAAAGTTAATAAGAAAACCTATGAAATCCATGCTAATTAAACTATATACTATGTACAAATATTAACCAAACAATAAAACCCATCTTGGAAAAGATGAAAAGATGTGGGGAAAGTGAAAACGTATGTAACAATTCTTTGGTTAAACCTTTAGGGAGACACTTTTATGTTTCTTGTGCATCCTTTCCTCCAACCCCACCGGAGCCAATCATGTAGTCTCCTCACGCTCCTTTGTTCTCCTAATTCATTTTCTTGTATCTTACTTCTTTGTTTGCAATATATCTTTGTACATTGTAACCCTTAATTAAATCTGTTATTATTCATATCTATGATTATAAAACGTATAGGAATCATACATATGATACTAACGATGGATTTTTTATCCTTTAGCTCTATTTCTAGTGAATGATCAGCAAAAGAGAAAGACTTAATGAAACTAATTTCCGACGAATCATTTCCTCGTATGAAAATAAGGTTTTCAACGACAGTTTGCTACGAGTTTCCGACTAAGAAATTTTGTCGGAAATTTGTAAATTATTTCCAATTATTTTCCGACAAATATATAGTCCCTCGGAAATGAGTTGGAAATTTGTCGAGATTTTTCCGACTACTTTTGTCGACGGAAGTGGTGGTCAGAAATTGCTGTATTTTCTTGTAGTGAAAAAAACAAACAAACATATAAGATGATGAGACATGAGACCTCCAATTCTTAAATATTGTCAAAATGTGTTCGTCATCCGCCGGCCCAGCAGCTCTTCTCTTATCAAGGTTGAAGAAAGTTATATCCTAATTAAGAGCATACTGTACCGGAGAACGAGTCTGGTCGATCTAGTATATGCTAAGAGCATACCGTTCCGGAGAAGGAGTCCGGTCGTTCTACTAATTACTACGTACACATCCATAGAAATTTTTCCAAACCATATAGAACACTACACATGCACATGCATGAAGAGTCAAAACCATTTTAGATCAATGATTCTCTAGACACTAGTCTTCCTTAGTCCAATCCAAGCAATGCTTTCCAACATTATTAACTAAAATTATACATCATTCGGAACAAGTTCAAAGCAACGATGTTCATTAACGATTGTAGATTTTATCACCGAACTTTATAACTAAACTTACTGAACTTTTCATATAGTACTAGATTTTAACCCACGGTACACCGCGAGACGACATTCTTAAAATTATTCGTTTTATCAATTTTGTTTGTATATAAGAGTGTACAACTATATATAATTGTTAATTCTATGATTTAACCCGTAAAATATTATATGATAATTTATTTTTATATAATCGTAATTTGATCAAATTAATTAAATAAGTATAATATTTAAAATAATGAAATGATATTGACATAATATTTGTTTACATAGTATAATTTCATATTAAAATATTTTGTGAATTATACTATAGTAGAAAATCCGTAAAAATATCTATATTCATAATTATGTAAATTATAATCCGTTCCATCACATGACCCGTGCTACACAATTATCATTAATACTTTAGTACATCTATTTTTGTATCGTTTGAGTAATATACATCCGTTTCAAAAAATTCAAATTGCAACATATGCAAAAAAAATTATATTTTTATTATACATATGTTTATGTAATAATATAAATTTAAAAACAAATAAGATCATATCAAAATGTTGGAGAAATATTTAACTTCTTAGGGAGAGATTTTAGGAAATTTTGTTAAATGTAATAAATATTGATTTCTAATTTTGCAATTTTATTATGATTTAATTACAAAATTCATTTTAAACTTTTTCTATTTAATCAAATGGCAAAGGATTAACTATGAAAATATCATAAAATGAAAGGGTATAACACAAAAGGTACTTCAAAAATGTTAATATAGATTGATTTCTCTTTCACTCGTCCCCAACTCAATCTTCATCAATTTAGAAATTGAATAATTTATGTGGTTTGATATGATTTTTTTTTCAAATAAAAATCAAATATTTCCAAAAATTATATACAATTAAAAATGTGTGATAACCTTTTTAAAGTTATCGGTATAAAAAACTGGAAATCCGGATCCGGTTTTCATAAAAAAAATATAATATAGAAAATGAAATAAGAATTTATTAATCTAATTTAGTATAAATAATAATAAAAATTTAAGAAAATCTGAGGAAAATATATCAATATAATATAAATATAATTAAAATATAAAATATTACAGATCTTAATATCTGGTTTAAAATCCGGTTCATCATCCGGTTCCGCCTCACCCGAATATCCTGTTTTTCGGAACGGATTGAAACGGTTCCCGGGTCTCGGATGGTTGGTATTAGACCTAGATATGACTACATTTATTTGGACCAACAAAAAGAACCCTCTAATAACAATTTCAAATTTTGTGTTTTTCAGATTCTGGTTACTTAACTGGTAGTAACCAGAGCACCTCCAAATATATGAAGACACGTAGCAATGGTTCTAGTACAAACGCATCATGGTCGTCACTGCTCGAGACCATCAAAACCAATCACACGTGGATATGAGAACGATGAAACAACCTTTGGTTCTCATCGGACCAATGCCTTTACTAATGATGATTGCGATGATGACTTCAATGTCGTTGTTACTTGCAGTCAGCGAAGCCATCCCAACAACTTTAGACGGTCCCTTCAAGCCATTGACCCGGCGGCTCGACCCGTCTCTACGGCGAGGCAGTGACGACTTGCCAATGGATCATCCGAGGCTAAGGAAGAGAAACGTCAGCTCTGTTTTCCCAGAACAGATTGCTTTAGCTCTCTCTACTACTCCAACCTCTATGTGGGTTTCTTGGGTCACTGGTAAAACAAATAAAAATCTGATTTTTATGACAATTTGATTATATTTTTCTTGAAATTTTTCAGTATCTAATAAAAAGCTTTAGGCTTTGAATTTGTCTATTTGAACTAGGATTTTGTGAGATTTGTTTATATGCTTCTTTCTCAGGTGATGCTATTGTTGGAAAAGATGTGAAACCACTTGATCCTAGTTCAGTTGCTAGTGAGGTTTGGTATGGGAAGGAGAAAGGGAAATATTTGTTAAAGAAGATTGGGAATGCAACAGTTTACAATCAGTTATATCCCTTTGATGGTCTGCTCAATTACACATCAGGCATCATACACCATGTCCTCATTGATGGTAATAGTATCTTTCTCACGTAGAGTTTCTTATGTGTATGAATGAACCATTGCAATTTTGCTTGAGCTGAGTATTGCATTGCTTCTTATTTTGAAAAGTTGACATTACTTAGTGTGATAACTACCTAATTTTGAAGGAACTGTTCCACATACTTAACTTTTATCTTATTGTGGACTTGTGTTGTGTGTATAATAGTTTACTTTGTAGAAAGAAAGATGATATCTTTTGAGATGCCCTTATTCTAAATCTGTGTTGACTTGCCACTGCGAAGATAGTATTTTTGCAGATAGTTGGAGGAATTTGGATTGACTTGTGATATGTTGTAGGTCTTGAACCAGAAACCAAGTACTATTACATGTGTGGTGACAGCTCTGTTCCGGCAATGAGTGAGGAACTTTCTTTTGTGACTTTGCCGCTGCCAGGAAAAGACGCATATCCTCATCGAATTGCCTTTGTTGGGGATTTGGGACTTACCAGTAACACAACCACCACTATTGACCATTTGATGGAAAACAACCCCTCGGTTGTTATAATTGTTGGGGACTTAACATATGCAGACCAGTACCGTACAATTGGTGGCAAAGGAGTTCCATGCTTCTCATGTTCATTTCCTAATGCACCTATTAGAGAGACGTATCAACCTCGTTGGGATGCCTGGGGAAGGTAAACCTTACTATCTCTTTTTGTCAAGTTGTTTAAAATTATTTTAGAGTGAATAATACTGTGCATAGGAAAAAATGTTTTAAACTTAGGAGATTTTGGTGGCAAATCTTTGACTTGTGGCCAGGTTAATGGAGCCACTAACCTCCAAGGTCCCAACAATGGTCATTGAAGGAAACCATGAGATAGAGCCTCAAGCTTCCGGAGTCACCTTTAAGTCATATTCTGAAAGGTTTGCAGTTCCTTCAAGTGAGAGTGGCTCCAACAGCAACTTCTACTATTCTTTTGATGCTGGAGGAGTGCATTTTGTTATGTTGGGTGCATATGTTGATTACAATCACACTGGTAAATCCATGGATACTTGCAGTATCTTTACTTTGATTTCAGCAAAGCACTTGTATTCTTTGTTCCCTGATTAATAAGGAAGATTTTTGGTGCTCCTACTTCAAAACAATCTCATTTCTATGAATAATTATGTGTTATTTTAGGAGCACAATATGCATGGTTAAAGGAAGACTTGTCTAAAGTTGATCGCGGAGTGACACCTTGGCTGGTTGCAGCAATGCATCCGCCTTGGTACAACAGCTACTCCTCACATTACCAAGAGTTTGAATGCATGAGGCAGGAAATGGAAGAGCTTCTTTTCCAACACCGTGTTGACATTGTGTTTGCAGGACATGTGAGTTCTCAAATTTTCTTGGTGAAAGAGAGATTTAATATTCTTCGAAGTCGAATTATGGTGATATAGATATGTTTTGCTGTTGTTGTTCTTCTTCTATGGTATGATTAAAAAAAGGAGTTTATTGCTACTGAAGGTACATGCATACGAGAGAATGAACCGCATATACAACTACACATTAGACCCTTGTGGCCCAGTTTATATAACAATAGGAGATGGTGGAAACATTGAGAAAGTTGATGTGGACTTTGCAGATGACCCTGGGAAGTGTCCTTCTCCAGGAGACAACATCCCCGAGATAGGAGGATCATGCCCATTAAATTTTACTTCTGGCTATGCAAAAGGCAAGTTTTGCTGGGACAGACAACCTGATTGGAGTGCCTACAGAGAGAGCAGCTTCGGACATGGAATCCTTGAGGTATATATCTTCATATGTTTAATAAGAAAGAGTGGTTCTCTTTTATGTAATAAGAGCTGACAATTAGAATGTGTTCATACAGGTCGTGAACTCAACGCATGCTCTGTGGAGTTGGCAAAGGAATCAAGATGTCTATAAGGATAACATCTATGGTGACCAAATCTACATTGTCCGTCAACCAGATGTCTGCATTTCCCTGAAATCTCGAGGTAAGACTTGTAACATGAATCCCTTAATGAGTTTATGCTTCATTATCACATCAGTAGCTAAGTAATGCTCAATTGTAGTATATAGTAGTACATATTTGCTTTTGACACATCACTTGAGTGACTTGACTCCATGTATCATTTATTTTTCTTGATTACTGGTAATTTTATTTCTTTTGTGTAGGCCAGCTTAGTTAGGTCTCCACTGTTTGAACTTATATCTTAGATGAATACTTTGCATCACTAGTCATGTTCTGTGTATTGGCTCCAATTGATGAAAATATCCCTGAAACATAGTGTTCAATTTCCATATCATTGAATCTGTTTTTGGCATCTCTTGTGGCTATGCTAGTGTAGAAGAACTTGTGCTATATAAGTATCCCAACATCAAAAGAACAATTTTAACTTGAAAATGTATTCATTAGCTGTTGGCAATGTGAAGAGGTATAAGATGACCATTTGATGTCACTAAACATTTAGTGAAAGTTTATATAACCGAGAAGAATCTCTCCCATTTCATTATGTAGATCCCACTGCTGGACTTTCGATGCGATAGAAAAGATTGACGGCTTGACGCTAAGGTTCAGAGGAGACATAAGTGTGTAAGATCATCAATAGATGTCAAACTGATCCCTCAACACATTCAATTTGGTTGAGTATTTAAAGATAAACTATCAACTCCTGTGAGGCTAGTCTGATTGAAGAAGCAGTTTTGAGATATAGTTCCATTGTTACAGAGGTTGAGACCTATGTGGCTATGTCCTATACTCTATTTAAAATCAGAACGCCTTTGTTCAATTGTCTTTACATTCTACAACGAGGTCTTACAAGGAAGGTGCTTGCATGCGCACCATGCATGGTTCAAATCATCATCTACCAAGACTGGAAAGACCATTATCAAACAAGTGTTTCATCTTCTTTCTAAACCAACAAGAAAGAAAAAGATGCATGAGACCACAAAGGAACATGAACATCAAGTAAAAGTTCTCAATTCCCACATTTCTTTCAAAACCTCATCAAGACTTGTGGCAACTTTTGCAAGGAACATGATCTCTAAATATTTGTTTGTTTCTTTAAGTTTTAATTGTTTTAGATCATTTTAAAAGCAAATTAATAATGGGTTTAAATTAACATAAACCAAATTGATATAATATAGAGTTTGCCCCAAACAAAATTAAAATACATATTAGGTCTAAATTATTTAAAAAACTCATAAAAATATTGGCTTTAATCCATAGCTCATGGGCCAGAACTATTTGGACCCACCACTTCAGCTCGTCTCACCACCCTTTGAAGTTGCTAATGTCACCATCCCATCTGTACTGCTTCCTCCACCATGGCTGCAGCTTCCACCTTCTCCACAGCTTCGTTTACCTGCAAGAGTAGTACGGGATATGTTTGCTGCTATCTCTTGCTGTGCCGTCAGCTCCAAGGAAGACTCACGATTACGAGATCTGTTGGTTGCTACTACCTGATCAAGTTGTCTCCCAAGAGATGGAAACACTAATCTACGCCTGACCGGTAGACCTGTCAGTCCCATGAGTGGCTGAACCATTGGTACACGGGACTCACGACTTGGATCAGATCTGCGTGCAAACAACCATTCACTTTGTTCCACTCGCTTACACGTTGGACACTGCATCATGTTAATTGCATTGAACGCAGATCCGATGCAATCTAATTTGATGTCATAAGAAAAAAAATAATAATTAGCTTTTGTTACCAACACAACACATATCAATTAGGACAACTTTGGTCTAATTAGATAACATAAAACGTCACGACCAATGTCTTATCTAAACAATACTTTGTTTTCCGACCACAAAAAGACAAAAAACTTACGGAGATGATAGTGATGGCCACATCGAAGCTTGACAGGGGTACGATCATCAGCCAATGACTCGAAACAAATCATACACTCATCATCATCATCAAAGTGTTTGTTCTCGAAAGCAACTCGTTTGTTGTTTTTGTTCACGTTAGTCCCATCACCCATGTTCATAGTGTAAATCTTATTGTTGAAAAAGAAAAGTTATGTAATCTTTGTGAGAAGCAAAGGAACCACTGATATCTGTGAAAACTTCACAATGGAACTCGAGTTTATATAGACAAATTTTGTTTAGTATTAACAAAAGATTTACATAAAGTAGATATATAATGTGACACTTGTTTTCACAAATGTGGTTGATTAGTTTTCTATCTTAATTAATTAACTAACAAATATCAATAAATAACGGAAATTTAAATCTTTTCGCGCCAATTGTCGTTATCTTATAACGGTTTTTTAAAGTCTTTCCTGTTAATTATATCTAATGATTGTTGTGCTTTAACTATATTGAAGACACGTGTAACATTATTTTTGGGAAATCTGGTTTTGGGGATTTCATGATTTTTCAATTGGGAACATTTAAAATTAATACTCTAAAATGAAACTTTTTAAATAAAAGATTTACTAAAATAAATGATATTTTACAAGCTCTAAAATTTCATTCAATAAAATATTAATTTTTATTATGAAAAAGTGGAAAAAATGCTTATTTGAAGATGATTTACTTTAAAAGTTAACCACATAAATATAAATGTGTCCTTAGTGGTAGTGAAGATTTATTTTTATTTTATCTTTATAATGCTATTTTGTTTTATTATATTGAAAACTTTCTCATTATGTCTTACTATATATTATAAATACATAGAAACTTTATTATGTTAAATGTATTTTTATAGCTTTTAATTAAATGCATTAAAATTGTTTGTTTAAAAAAATGATCTACATGACAAAGTGAAATATATGTTACCTTAGTGGGGTATTTTAATTATATGTATATAAAAAAGTAGTTACTTACAAATTATTTAGTATTAGAGTAATTATAATGACCCAATCTAAAATAACTTTTGACCCCAAAAATATAAAATTAAATTAAATTAAAACTTCAAGTACATAAAACAAAACAAAAAAGCCCAAAGACAATACTAGGTGATTTAAAAATCCAACTTTACATTATAAATAGCCCATGACTTAACTTTAATAAAACAAATTTTACCTTAATATCTAACATTTTTTCGTTTATTATAATTAAGGTTTAATGGTTTATAACGGGGAAACTGTCATTTAATTCACGAATAAATCTTGGCCATTTAAATCACGAACTTTCTATGTAGCCATTCAAAACATGAACTTTTTGTTAACTTAGTTTTTAAAACATCATCTTTCGTTGATGAAGCCGAAATGAACACCATATCCTCAAATTCGTCGACAGAGCAGCTAGCCATCGTTAACCATATTTGTTAGTGAGAAACGACGTCGTTTAATGCTAAAATGATATCCCAAAATCTTAATTCTAACGTCATAATCCAAAATCAAATCCCTAATTTCTCACTTTGTTTTAGGCTTAAACGACTCGTCTCTTACTAATAGAGATGGATAAGTGATGGCTAAATGTTTGTTAGCTGTTTTGTTAACAAATTTTTGGATATGATGCTCATTTTGGCTTAGTTAACGAAAGATGATGTTAAAAAAATTAAGTCTACGAAAAGTTAATGTTTTAAATGACCACATAGAAAGTTCGTGATTTAAATGACCAAAATTTGAAAGTCCACGATTTAAATGACATTTGTCCCGTTTATAATGAGATTATGCATAGCATGAATTTAACAATCATCAATTAAAAATGTAAAGTTTTCATCTATTAGAACAAAATTTCACTTCTCATTTTCCTCTTTCGATCTTGACCAAAAATTTTTTAAAAAAAACCGAGTTATTTAATATTTTATGTTGAATTTCAGATTATTTTTTAGAAAACAAATAAAAATTCTATTGATATATTTAGATTTTATTCTAATTTTTTTTTCAACCTCAGCAAAAAGAAAACCTTAAATTACACAAAGTTCCTAAAAATTCGATTATAGAAAAACTCAAAAACATATTCATTTGGTGAGTGGTGTCCAAAAAAAAAAAACATATTAATTTAATTTTATTCTGTCATCCCTAAATGTTTTTTGCAGTTGGCGGCAAAATTTCTGAGAAACCAAAAATTAAAAACAATAGCCAAAAAAAGTGAAAGGCTTGAGAGTCGAGTGAGAGAGTAGGAGAGAAGAAGATGAAGAAACCAATTCCTAAAATTAGGGTTTTTGGTCAACGATCGATTGCTTCTTCCTTCCTTAATCGCAGTTCGATTCCGTAAGCCTTCACACTCTCCTTTGATTTCTCAATTCTCCAATTAGGTTAATAGATTTGAGTAATTTAATGAATTCGTGTGTGATTGTTTCTATAGTGTCGATGTCGAAGCCTCTTCGGGTTCGAAGAATCTAAGCAAACCAGTGCTTGTTAAACCCAAGAACACTGAGGTAATGATTAAGGTCCATTGCTTGAGTTTTTGAGTTGGGATTTGATAGAAAAGGTTTTAATTTTCTTAGTTTAGGTTCTTATGAGCCTAAAGCTGTAACCTTTGAGTTGATTCTGTTAAGAGATTGAGGTGAAATTTGTGAGTTCTGAATTTGAGTTGGGATTTGATAGAAAAGAGTTTTAATTTTCTTAGTTTAGGTTCTTATGAGCCTAAAGCTGTAACCTTTGAGTTGATTCTGTTAAGAGATTGAGGTGAAATTTGTGAGTTCTGAATTTGAGTTGGGATTTGATAGAAAAGGTTTTAATTTTCTTAGTTTAGGTTCTTATGAGCCTAAAGCTGTAACCTTTGAGTTGATTCTGTTAAGAGATTGAGGTGAAATTTGTGAGTTCTGAATTTGAGTTGGGATTTGATAGAAAAGGGTCCTCATTTTCTTAGTTTAGGTTCTTATGAGCCAAAAGCTGTAACCTTTGAGTTGATTCTGTTAAGAGATTGAGGTGAAATTTGTGAGTTCTGAATTTGAGTTGGGATTTGATAGAAAAGGGTCCTCATTTTATCAGTTTAGGTTCTTAAGAGCCAAAAGCTGAAACCTTTGAGTTGAATTTGTTAACAGATTGGGGTGAAATTTGTGAGTTGTGAATTTGATTTCTGTTTATTGCGGTTGCAGATCTTGATAGCTTTGGTTAAATACATATGTTTGTGTTAGAGTTCTCTTCTTTGTATGTGAAGTTATATGCTTAGTATGTAATGCACAGATTAAATTTCATAGCTTTCATGTTGAGTACGCCAAAGTTTAGTTTTTTGGGGATGCAATTGCAAATTGGTCAAAAGATTTAGATTTGTGGACCTTATGTATAAAGTTTGGTGTTTGGTTCTGTAGCAGGAAGGAAGAAGACCTTTCACCTCTCTTGTTAGCTCTAAAGATTTGACTCAACTCTCTCACGGGCTTGGGATGGAGAGAAAAGTGAGGGAAGAAAAGAAAGATGGCGATGGTGGTCTTGAAAAGATGATGCTTCAGCAGTTTAAGCCAAGAGAGATCCAGATAAGGGAAGAAGTGAGTAGGGATATAACTGGTGAGGCGAGTCTTGAGCAGGTGGATCACATAGCTGCTGAAGAGATAGATAATCTGGCTTCGCACTCCAATGAAGACAATGAAGATATCATTATTGTAAAGGATGATCAAACATCAAAGAAAAGAAAAGATCCTTTTGAAGGTATGTCACTTTACTGTCTTCACTTGTTTTCGTAGTTAAACGTAAGAGTTTTAGTAATCCAGTTGGCTGTGGGAAGTTATGAAAAGAATATTATGTCATACCAAATACATTTAACAGTAGCTATGGAAGCACCTAGGCAAAGGAATTGGGTAAAAGTGATTGGCTCAAGCAAGTTCCTTTTCCATTTTCTAGATGATGTTTTGAAAGAAGTGTGTGAATTGAGAACATTACTTGATGTTTTTGCTCCTCAGTCTTCTCTTTCTTGATGGTTTAGACCTAAGATCTTAGTCTTAAATCCGAATAATCTAATGTTTAAATGACCTTTAAAGATCTCAATAGTTGATAAGAGTATACGTTGAATCACTAGGTATGGAGAGCATTAGTAGAACAGGAAAGTCCGTTATAGTCTTTGGAGACAACTCGAATGTATCTAATCCTATGCAAAGGGAAAGTCAAAGAGGAAGGAACAACAATAGTAAAAAGCAGCGACCGGCTTACAACCATTGTGAGTGACAACAAGTTTCAGTCACTTTCTGCTAATTGAAACAAAACTCTATGTAGTCGATACTTATGTAAACTTCCCAACAGATGCAAATGGTTCAGGATGGTGGGACTGTGACATGGAAGGAGTTGATTCGGAAGAAGTCGGACATAGTGAAGTGTGGGAAGGAGTTGGCTCAACAACATTTGGAGATATAGTTGATTGGCACTAACCAAGTCACAACCTAGCCGGCCAGTCATGTTTTTATATCTCACACTTTTCCTAATTACTATGGTTTGTCTGAGAAACTAATTCGGTTTGTGTAAACAAATATGTATAGTAGTTGTTATGGTAAGCGTTAATCACCTGTAGACTCTTTATACTACTCTAGGATATCTCCAAGTTACTAAATATTTTTATCTTTCTTTCGGATATTTTATTTCGTATAGTTGAAGAATAGTTAAGGAAATATCCATAAAGACCGTAATTAATAATTTTGGAGCAAGTTAAACTTGGTGAGCTAGTTTTTTTTTCGTCATATACCAACGTGGCCATGTCTTCCTCTTCTCCTGAAGATGAGGACTGTGTTGTCGCTGTCAAGTTCTTGGGACCTCAACTAAGCTTTTGCAGACCGGCTCAAAGCAACTCCGAGTGGGTCAACATCTGAATGACAGACCCCTGCTTCTTCTCCTCCCCTGTCATGTTTTCCAAGAAAGATGACATGTTTCGCATAGCCGGCTCTGGAGGCCACCTCATAGGATCATGGGATCTTCACAAACCTAGCAACAACTCCAAGTTGCAGAGGTTGCGGTTTCAAAACCTTCCCAAGATGTCCGAGAAATAACGAGACCTTTTGGATTCGTGCTACACAAGCGAACACTTGGTGGAGTCGATAACCACCAGTGAAACTTTCATGGTTAAGTTGTACAGGAATACCTTCGAGATTCCGAAAAAGAAAACAGAAGCAATAATGGTGTTCAGTCTAGACGAAGAAGGAAACGCTGTTTATACTCACGATATCGGAGATCAAAGCATTTTCCTCACAAATTCTGAAGCTTTCTGTGTCCCTTCGAGCTCCAGTTTCTTCATGCATCGACCTAACATAGTTGAATTCTTATACTTCGACGAACATGTCAGATTTTTCACGCTAACTAAGCAAAAGTGGGATTGTTAGAGTCACTACTCCATCTCAAAAAAATTTGCTTGGAATTGAGTTCAGAGTCTAGAGTCTGTTTTCCCTTTTAAACCTTTCAAATATCAAATCTATTTTTATATAATCTCTATGAGACTGATATATAATCTTGCAGAAACTTTGCTATATAATCTCTCATCAGTCTCCCAACTAATTTATAGTTTAACTATATCAAACCTATCTTCTTTGAAACAAGAGTAATGCAAATATCATACTTCTGATATAAAGAAGAAGTTGTACATATGTATTCATAAACATATATATATGCTTATATCGTTTAAATAAATGCGTCTGTGTATAAAACATGAACCTTCATTATACGTTTTTATTACCGTCACAGACATCGCAAATTGTATAGCCAAGACCTTCACAGTACGGACATTTCGTATCTTCACCAACCCACTCCATAAACTACAACATTGAAGAAGAGATTCTCTGCATTAGGCTACTTGATAATAATACACACATACACATAACCAAAGCAGGGTTGTTCTGATTTACCCACCTGCGGTTCAATGTTTGGTTCACCAGTTCCGTCGCACTCTACACAACAACCAAAATCCACATGTAGTTAGTTATTTCGTATAATCAAATAGTGTACTACAAATCTGCGCGTGAGAGTTGGAACCGAGATAGCCACATTGGATGAAAGATTCCAACCATTTCCATAAGGTTGGTTTCAATTAGCAGTCTCAGTTTGCTAAACAAATCCTAGCCTTCTTTCTCAACATTCAAAAAACGATGATTTTCACTCGTACAAGGTTGGTTAATTGGTTTCTATTAGCAGTCTTAGATTCCTAAGGAAGAATACTAGCTTTCCTTCTTAAGTAATAACTATCAAAGAACAATGATTTTCACTTAACAGGGTCAAGAAGGGATTTACCTAGGCACATCAATCGACCCTCCCCTCTACAAGTGATGCACCTCGTTTTGGTGTTTGTAGATTTACTTCTGTCTACTGGTTTGTTCCTGCCAATGAGCCTGGAGGGATCTTCCCACCTGTTTTCTCCAAGAAGAAAAACCCGATTTTGAGTAACGTCAACTTCTCCATCACTTTGATCTTTGATGATTGATTGCTTCTTCTCAGGGACTTGTGTCACTGATGTAAATACCGCTCCGTTACCAGCTTCCTTGATCAACGAAGATGAGAGAAAGGTTCAGTAGAAAGAATCAATCTTAACAGGTTTAAGCAAATTAACAGTTATTTCAGAATATTCATGTTCCCTAAAGTCTCAAACAAGGCAATGTAGTATTTTCCTCTTTGGCTAATAGTTTATAAGACGCATAGTAGACACTTCAATCGCAACAAATCTCATTAGCAACAAAAATATCATTTTAAGGATCAACTAAGCTAAGAAGGTAATAAACTGTCAGTTCACAAGCTTGTGAGGCCAAAGCATACAATAGTACTCCATATTCGGTTATAAGAATAGACCGCATAACTACTCTGAACGCTTGCTACATAGCTATAAGTAAATGGGACACCTTTGACTGGCATATACTCAGATCCCTTAGATAAATGTGGTGGAAACTATCCATGATCTAGAACAAGTAAGAAGACAAGTTCTCCAAATCCCAATGGTTTCAGTTTTTTACCTCTTGCTTCACTGTATTAGCTTCATCCTTATCTGTCTCTGTGTCCTCATCCATGAACAACCTTTGAAGAAGCTCTGCAGTCATTACCCCATCCTCACGGACGCCAAGCGATGCCTTTTAAACCAAAACATGAAAACCATTTCAAAATCAAAACCGCATCAGAACACGATTAAAATCAATGTGGGCTAATATGCAAAAATACATACTTGCCAAGTCTTAACAGCTCTTGCTGTCCCACTTGAAAAGCTAGAAAACTCCATGTCCTCTTCACCCGAATAGAATCCTAATTTTAGCAGAGCTTCCTATCAAACAGAGCAAACACAATCCACAAAAGAGAAACCATCAAAAAAGAAACATTCTCTAAACACTTTCAAATCATCACTAAACTATTTCAAATCTAATCTCTCAATCTAAGCTAATTCCAGTGATGATAGAACTAGATTGACAGATTTTACTCGCCTTTGTTCTAAAACTCAGAGAACAATTTTTTTTTTGTGCAAGCAGACCTGCAAAGCTTGAACATCGTCGCCTTCGCTTCCAACCTTCAACGTCCTCCTCTTCTCCTTCTTCAGGTCAGGCTCCGAAACCCTAACTTTCTCCTCAGCAATAATCACTCGCTTCTCTTCTTCTTCTACCAATTCCACTTCCTCTTCCTCAACCACAAGTTCTCTCGTATTCTCCAATACCATCGGCGTTGCGCTTAACCCACTCTCCGAAATCCGATTCTTCTCCTTCAAAACCTGAAGCAAAGCAGCGATACTCGAAACCGTATCGGGAACAGAACTCCCCAATTGCGAATTTCGCGACTCTAGGGATTCAATTTTTAGCTGGAGATCCGAAATCTCTCGTAGAAGCGATTCACGCTCGCGTATCCATCTCTGTTCCTCTCGAATCCATCGTTGCTCTTCCCGAATCCATCTCTGCTCTTCTCGAAGCCACCGGACCTCTTCGCGATCGTAACCGGAGGGGTTTTGAGTTGAGAAGCAAATGATTGAAGAAGGAAGAGATGGAAAGAGAGGGGAGCATCGGAAAGGTAGAGATCGAGTAGTGCTACTGCGTGATCGGAGTGGAAATGGAAGAGATAGAGGTAAAGAAGAAGAAGCCATTAGAGAGAGTGAGAGAGAAGATAAAACTAATCGGAAGGTTTTGTTACCACCGCATACAGACGGCGGGAAGATAATTTCCGTTTTTTTGTTTTTTTTTTTGTTTTAATATTTTTTAATCTCTTCTGGAAGTATCTTTTGTGTATTTGTGGATAAAGCCCTTTATTTGTCTGTTGTATTCTATGAAAGCATTTAAGTTTCCAAAGTTTTGATTTCAAACCGTCAAGTTTACTTTTGGAAATTTTGAACCCTAGGCTTTTCTCACAATTATACGCAAAATTAATTAAATTTCTACTAATTTAAAAATTTATATTATACATACTGTTTTTTCGTTAGTTGAATTGTGTTAATGTATATATTAAATGATGTTTAGTCTAAAAATAAGCAAAAAATAAATGATTTTTTAATCTATGTACATTTGCTCAAAAAATAAAAATAATCTATTGTAGAACGTTGTGAGTATTGTTTAGTCAAGGCAATACGGCACGTATAAGTTAAATTTGAAATAATTAACAGTGTATTTGATTCTATATTCGATTTTCGAGGGTTAAAAATATAAATTCTTTTGTTTAGATTAAATATTTTAGATTTTATAATAGAGTGTTTAGTGTTTAGAATTTTGTAAACGTTTGTATTTTGGTAATAACCGACATATATAGTGGTTTGTGCCTCTCCTCAATAAACTAATGGTTAGCCTATCAAAGCTTCTACTTGTTAAAAGGTTGTAAGCTTCTAACTAAGAAGTAAACTCGAGACTATACTTTTGATAGAACCGACGCACAAATTATAAGGATCACAAGCCCAAAAAAAATTAGAGTTGATTTCGTAGGTAAACCAAACAAAAAATAACAAAAATTGACACTAAAACAGTTCATAGCAATCTTCAAAATCGTTTTTGTAGGAAATTTCCAGTAATGGGATGGTCCATAATATAGATAATATTTGAAAATTACAAACTCATGTGTTTATGAGCTTCTGCATAGTATCGGCTCTGACCTTCGGCACATGCTCACTAACGTGTGAGCCGAAGTCTCCGAGTATTCTAGTTATACAAGAAAAGTGGAAGGATGTGTTGAAGTATAGACAAAACTTTTGAATTTAGCATTTTTGTTACAAAATTTAAATCCCAAAATTGGGTCTTTTTGGGTATGATGCGCCTAATTTTTTATTTTTCTTTAGGCCCAACAACACTTAAATCAATGTATGGAAATGTATCCAACAAATGTTGTATTTGTGAGTCCCAAGAAGATTAATCGTTCAACAAGTGTGTATCAAACCTTGTGAGATCACTGAGATGACCAAAGATCGAGTTTACTTTTCAATTATAGAGTAGGTCGGATCTTGTTTGCTTTCAACCACTAACCATATCAACACGTCCTCAGAGAGTGTCTTACCAAGAAAAACAACTTTTCCTTTTAAAAATGCAGTACAGCTCTAGCTACTTTGACTTTGTCCTAATAGTCCAAAAAACATATCAAAATTAAACAAACATTATGAGATTCAAATATGGCAATAATGACTTTGGTTTGCCTCAAAGAAAGTTGATAAAATTACCAATTTTGGAAAACGTTACGAAACATACAACAAAAGAACATAACAAATGCATGAAAGTAACTTTTTATTAGGATACATGAAAGATAGAAATTAAGCACACCTCAACATAAAGTCTAACTCACATTTTCAAACCCGAACCTTGAAATTTCTCGTCCATGATCATGTCGATTTTGTTCGCCATTTCGGTTGTGAGATGATTCTTCCAATCATCAACTTCTCCTTTGCGGAAGAAGATACTATGATCCACGTTGTTCCACGATATTCCGGTCTTGTTGATGTCCAAATTGCTCAGACTACTTAGAGAGCACAAGTCCGAGATCTTCTCAACTGATCCTGTACGTATTTCTTGTTCAGTAAATGGACAGTCCAAGAACTCGGCAAGTCTCATGACTTGTGCATAAGGCTCTTCTTTAAGATCCTCGTACCTCATAAATAGAACATGCTTTGGATCTTCCAAACTTCCTTTCCAATAGCTCAAAACATGGTCCCAAATAGGTCCATAATTGTCAACTCCTTTGCAAAACGACTCGATAATAGACTCAAGACCGCTTCTCTCAGCTTCTTTCTTCCCGATCTTTGACCTAAAATGCCAAAGAGACACTAACACATCCTTAACGTTCCTACACACGTAGACGATCTTACAAGGAGAGTCCTTAAGCGGCTCTCGGAGAGTATGCAACGGCATGTGAGTTGAGAACAACCTCGGGGATGATGAGAGCTTGGTCAGGTCCGGTGTTGAGCTTTTGTGATACAAATCCATCTCGAGAAAAGGTACAAGACCATGAGGGCTATCAGAGGTAAGAGGATGGCTCTGAAGACCATCCTCTGACCTATGAAGTAAAGCGACCGTGAGGGCCTTGAGCCAAGTGGTTCCAGACTTGGGGTATGAAGTGACTATAATGTCGGAATCAAGCGGCTTAAAGTGTTTCTGGTAATCGAGGACTGCTTGGAGATTCTTGTAATAGTACCAACATCCTTGGTAGTTGCAAAGCTTCTTCCCTTGGATGTTTGTGTCCGAAGGAAGTGAAGATATCAAACTTCTCACTTCTGTTCTTATGTCTTCTTCGTCTCCAAAGTTCCTTTGAGGCTCCGTGTGATTCATTTTTGCTTATTTTCATCTCATGAGTTGTTAGCACTCTATATAATAACTCGCAAGTCGCAACACATCACTATTTGTAAACGTGTTGTAATTATAAGAGAAAGAAAATGATTCGAAAACATATATTATACTTTTTATTGTTTGAACAAGAAAAATATATATATTATACTTTTTTATTTTATAGTACATTATAAAATATATTTACATGAAAAAGATAAAAATTTATTACAGAATTTAGTCAAGATGGAGTAGGTTGAATTTTGTTTTCTTTTAATCATTTTTCCCCAGACATCTTTAAATAATGCACCACTATGTAAACATGTATAAGTTAATCTATTTTTCTCGTCCACTACATTGTAACAACGTGGTAATATATATGAAATAAGGGATGAGAAATATCTGATAGTTTAAGTTTATTATTATTTTTCACTCTTTTTTTCTTTTCAGTTTTTAATTACAATTCATTTTTCTATCTTTTAAAACTTAATTTCATTATTTTATTTTTATTTGAATTTGAATTTTTTATTTTTTTACTTTAAATTGTGTATGATTTGAGATAACAATATTTATGTACACATGTGCACACATTAATAAATCTTGATAAATCCTATAAACTAATCCGTTACCAAAATGTGACATAGTGAACATTTATTCGAAAATCCACCACACTGTCTATCGCGAGTTTGGAATCTTCCGACTAATGTCTTGGGATAGCCATATCACATGTTATTGGACTACAAAGTAAACATCATAAACTTAAGCCAAAGTCCAGCCTTCTCATATCACTACAAAAAAAGGATTAAGTTAAATAACTTAAGATGCATCACAAAACTATATGATAGTAATTTAAATCACTTATATATAAATGAGACAAATATAGATGATTCAGCATCAACTATAAATAATTGATGTTATTATTAAATAGGTTAGCATCAAGTCAATTAAGTGATACAAATCAACCATTATTGTATCATTTTAAAAATATTGATACAAAATTATAAATTTACATCAATAAATAATCGATGTGTGTACTAAGTTTTTATTCACATCACTTATAAAATGATATAAAATTTATGTCACTAACAAAATGATGCAATTTATTTTTAATTGCATAAAAAACATTTACCGAAACTAACAAGAACTAGGTTCGGACCCGCGCTACAGCGCGGGGGAAATAATTACATATATATAACCTTTAACGGATTAGAATATGTTACATTTTAATTTTATTGCAATATAGTCGATTACGGTGAATTTAAATAAAATAATAACGAAAAAGCGAGTAAAGAAAATACATTGAGTTTTGATACAATTAAAAAACAGTGAAAATTTAACAGCACGAAATATTATTTATCGACAAATTATTCAATTGACCATTTTTGTAGTAGAAGTAGGAATATACGTAAAAATTACATACTTACAATATATTTTATGAAGGATCAACCCGTAACAGAATTTATTTTGTAAAAAACGTTATTCATAACTCGCTTTACCATTATAATTATGATTTTATCAAACTACATGTGAACTATCTAAAATTTACATAGTTTGATATATAATATATTTTATCAATAATAATTATGTCTCCAATTTTTTTTTTTAATATTTTAAATTCTAATTTTTTTTAATCTATTTGAACCTTTTAATTATAATATTTTGAAACTTTTATATGCTCATGTAACAATGGTTTTAATATTGTTCATACTAATTTTAAATCAACGTGCAAAATATTTAACCGAGTGTAGTTGAGTATTATATGTCCGTTTTGAAAAATTCAAATTGCAACATATGCAAAAAAATCATTTTTATTAAATATTTTTGTTATATTGAAGAATGATAATTGTTTTTAATATATTATATTAAATTAGTTAGAGAAATATTAGGAAATCATAAAATTAGTTATGGAAATAATATAATCTTAAAATCAAATATGGAAAATATCCGATGTATGTATCCAAACCCATTTTAATATCCAGTTTTGAAGTATCCAATTGTTAAAATCGGATTAATTTTTAATTTTGATCCGATCCGTTTTCTATTTTGTACTTCTCTTTTACTAATATAGAGATATTTGAAATAAATTGGAAAGTGGAATTTATATTTAGCAATTTAAATTACATGTCCCATATCATACTCATAGTTTTATATTTGAAAGTTGAAAGTGAATTTAACTTTATGATCATGTCTTGTAACAATTATATCTAATCATATTTTGTTATTTTATGAGAAATTCTGCAGATAATGTTTGTTTTTGAATTATATGTTCTCGTCTCGTTTCCATTCCTATAAGTTTATATTTTTTTTAATAAATAACACTATTTACATGTAACTAAATATAATTTCAATATATGTAAAATTTTATATAATTGCCCAAAAGTAGAGATTTATACATCTAAAATTTGAATTTTGTTCAATATTTTGAGATTTTGAGAATTAAATATAACTACCAACTTTTTTTATTTCAACCGGTTAAACAAAAATTATATCTCATATTTGTCAAGGATAATTCAAAATTGTACGTATATGTGAGATAATATTTGTAGATATTTATTTATTATATCATTTATATCATACCAGTTTGACATTTTATTTGTTTTCAATTATAATCTATTTATAATTTAAAAATTTGTAATAAGTCGTAAATATCATTTAATATATCCACTTGTTATTTAATTTAATCTTAATATAAATTATATATGTTTATAATCTCAAAAAGTAGTTTATGATTTGATAAAACAATTATTTAATATTTGATAATAGTAATGATATGCAAATTGCCAATGGATGAAGATTTATTTTGTTAAGATGGTGTGAAATTAATAAGAAAAACAAAGTTTAGAATAATCATTAACAAATTGTTTGACCAAATAAAAAATCATTAACTAATTGAATTAATGATATATTTTGTAGATAATCATTTTTATGGAAATATTTATTATTTTATAGTTAATGATATATATATTCTAGGAAAAATTACATTAGTTTGTTATGAGAATTAATTTTAATGATATATATGTAAAATATTGTATATTTTTTTGTTTAGTAGTTAATGTGGTACTAAAATATATGGAATCGTGAATTTATAACGATCAAACTATTTTGATGTACATAGATTTTTAATTTTCTTTTTTGATAGTTTGTGGATTTGAAATCGCATTATAGTTAGGAAAACCTAATTGAATAATATTTTTAAAATTGTCAATTAGTTATGTCAAGTGCTAATTATTAGAGTGATTGAATTAATTCTAATTTTTTGAATAATAATTTTTTTACAGGAAAAATAGAAATATTCTCTATAATTCAAAATTTTTAATCTTTTGTGCTATAATTGCGAGATTGCTTTTTGAATATGGATATTTTTAATGTGAAAATAAGAAATTTATGTGATCTAGAATGTTTATTCGCATGATTTTAGCAAACAAATATTTAATTATTGATTTATTTATATTTTATTTAAATTTTAAAATTATATAATTTTTTAAGTGTGATGATATGATCAGTTATGTATATATACTATGTAGAATTTTATTAGTTGATTATTTCATAATCTTACATATATTCTTATTTTTTATTTTTTCTAAAAAGTATTATCTTTGTTTTTAGATATATGATGAGTTTGTTTTATTAGATTTCATTCTATATAAATTATTAATTTCAAAATTATATTAAAATATTAAAGGGACAATTTTAAAAATGCCCCTTTTGGGGAATACATTTTTAAAAATGCCCTAGTGGGGAGAGCATTTTTAAATATACCCTTCTTTTTGTACAAAAAGACAGTTATACCCTTAATGATTTAACCTAATTGCAAAAACATTTTTCTCTTTCTCCATCATCTCTTCTTCTACATCGTTTCTCTCTCTCTCTCTCTCTCTCTCTCTCTCTCTCTCTCTCTCTCTCTCTCTCTCTCTCTCTCTCTCTCTCTCTCTCTCTCTCTCTCTCTCTCTCTCTCTCCCTTCTTTCTCTGCATCTCCTCTCTATCTCTGCATCTCCTCTCTCTCTCTGGATCTCTTATCTCTTAGGATATCTTCTCTCTCAATACTCGATCTACTTTCTCGATTTGCTTCTCTCTGGACCTCATCTCTCTGGATCTCATCTCTCTGGATCTGCTCTCTCTCTCCATCATCTCTCTCTGGATCTGCTCTCTCTCTCCATCATCTCTCTCTGGATCTGCTCTCTCTCTCCATCATCTCTCTGTGGATCTGCTCTCTCTCTCCATCATCTCTCTGGATCTGCTCTCTCTAGCGTCGTCGTTGGTAGAGCACTTGTCGTCAGTTATGGACTGTTGAATCCATTATTTAGGTTTGTGTTAATTTTGTAGAATCCATATAAATTTTGGGTAAAATTGAATAGAATGTTAGTAGGTACAGATTCATTAGGGTATACTTTGAAATTTAGTTTTTGTTTCATAATCTTAGTGTACCAAAAAAAATTACAAACCTTTTAAAAGCATTTTAAAAGGTTTAAATTGATTTTTAATGTGTTATATACAGGTTGGAATCTTCATAAAGATTATCACGGTTTTCGTAATGGATTGTGGTGTTGTTGGTGGGACTAAAGGCGATTATAAAGCTTATGAGGAATATAGCGTTGTGTCCTACTGTTAAAGAAGTTGTTATCTGTGAAGGATCAATCCCTTGTTTGGTTCTAATGTTGAGGTGGGCGATTTCAGGTGTGAGAATTGCAGCTGGAAAAATGTTGGTGGTGTTTGCTTGCATTTGTAAAAGGTTGTGGTGTGGAGCTGTAGTAGTGCTTGTTCTCATCCACGTTCTTGGCTTTATTATAATATAGTTATCTTCCTTGTTTCTTTGCTATATGTAGATTCATATGTATGTGGTTAAGATCTTGGTAAATAATATTATGAACATAATGCTACACGTAAAATACAAAGCAATAAGGTCTTACAAACTTTGAAAACCTATGGAAATAATGTTAAAGTATTTAAAAGGTCTTAAAAGATTTTAAAAAGCATTTGAAAGATTTTACAAGCCTTTTATAAGGTTTAAAAAGGTTTTTAGAAGACTTTTAAAAACTTTTAAAAGTATTGAAAAGATTTTACAAGCCT